AACTAGCTATTGTTTATTTTTATGCGAGAGTTCATCAGTGTATGCGTGTGTGCGTTTGGAACTTTGCCATCCACTTTCAACTTAACAACCAAAAAAGCTGGGAAGCTGAAATTTTTGGGGCATGTCCCCATCCCATGCGTCACCCTCCTGTTTTAAAAAATCCCTCACATGTCCCTAGATTCTCGTACGGAACACCGAAAAAATATGCAATTTTCCTTGGCGGACATGAAAAGGCCAAAGCGCAGGCACGTGTTGAAAAGTAATAACCATTTTTACTATTAAGGGTCTGACTGCGTCAAATTTAGCGCAAAAACACATGATCGCACGGGCCAACCTGGTGCTTCGTTACCTAAGTTTTATCAAAAAAGAGGCTGGCGAGCTTAAGTAAATATGTAAATTAGGTGGAAAGTGCAAAAATTCATGAGGCACAAAGAGTTGCACGATTCACATAATTGTGCACTGACTAGAATAAATACTAACCGTTCGATGATGATCGTTCAGCACCCTGAGATATTGCTTTAGCTTGGGAAGTCGAAAAGTGAATGTATCAATGTCATGCGCCGATAATAAAGCCATATCGCCAATTGTAGTAACACCGCGGGATGTCATTTCTACCTTTAGTTGGACAGAACTGAAATCAATGCAAATGAATACACACTTTTCTCGATCTATTAAACAATTAAAGAAATATCTTTGAAGTGCCCTAACTCCTGGCACAAGTGCAAATCGGTGCTCATTTTAGGTATACCGCCTCCTACATGGGAGACAAATATCCTGCCAAAATTTCAGCCACTGTTTTCCGGCAAGTTTTTGAGTTAGCATAGTATCAATTCAAACAAATCCTCCTCGCTACCCCATATTTTACTGCCTCAAAATCAAAACCCCCGTCGCATACGCTCTTTTTCGAGACGTAGTGATACAGGAAGTAGCTTGATTGGTAGAAAATGCTAAGAAATCACTCGCTGGCAAAGCTATTGATGGTTCCTTTTATTCAGGGCTGCGTACAAGCAAAATTGATGGAAAGTTTAGTTTCTTGAAAAACGCCTGTTCTAAAATCAATTTTGAAACCATTGACGGATCCAAGGCGAGGTAGAAAGGGGTGGGTCTTTCGTTCCCCTCCCTTTCAGCGATACAGGTAGCAGTGCTAAAAGTGAAGGAAATTCTCTTCGGCACTCCACCCCCCTCGTCCCCCGTTCCTCTCCCTTTCAGCGGTACAGGTAGCAGTGCTAAAAGTGAAGAAAAATCTCCTCGGCACCCCACCCCCCTCGTCCCCGTCGCCCCCAGGAGATGACGAAGGGAGAGAGGGGGTGCCGAAGAGATTGCTGGAAATATATTCATGGGTAACTACCGAAGAATACAGCCGAAACAGGAAAATATTTATATATGTAATTTAATTTCTGCGTATTTCAGCACTTCAACGTCGAAGAAAAAGGCAGTGGAATACCCGTGTCAAAATAACTAGGTAGCTGACTGCAAATTTTTGCCGCACTGGTTACAGGGAGCAGCAAAAATGATACGAGGTGTTGTGGAAATTTTAAAAATACAAACAGTGAATATTCTTGGCAAGGAGATTGGAAGAGAACGGGGGCCCTTGGCGTTATTGGTTCATCGTGGAGAGGAATACAGTCGAATTTTGACAATTAATGAAAAACTGGAAGTGCCATTCAGATCTCCCAAATAAGCAAGCCTGTATGTGCAGTGACTTGGTAGCCAGCCAGTTGAACATCGTAACAAAATAAGATCTGAATTACCTTGTTATTGGAGCCAATCCAATATATATCATTGGTGGAATTAATTCTTTTGAATTAATCAACAATGGAAACAGTGCTTTGTCTGGATCTTTATTGACTGGCAGTACAGCTGCCTGTTTTGGTGGTGATACTGGTGCTTTGTTGACATTCTGTTTTCCCTGCAATCACAGATGGAGGCAAAGTTTTTGTGTTCAGACCGTAAAACTTTATTCTCACTGTTAAAATCTGGAGAATGCTCTACTTTTTTTCGTGAAAAGAGCCCTTTTGCGAATAATTTTGGGCCGGTAAAAAACAGAACTGATCATTTTCATGGTGGGTAGGAGGCTGTACTGATGATTCCCATTCCTACCCGCATGCACTGTTCGGTCTGTGTATAAAGCTAAGGGATGAAACACAGACTGCATCATATCTTCATACACATGACATTCAAATGAAATCCTTCTATTCTTCTATTTCATTGACCTGTTATCCATTACACTACTGACGTTCTGCTTCACAGCTATAGCGTGGCGTCGAGAACTTTTTTTAAAAATTGATTTGTAAAATTACCTGTAAGTTGAAAAATAGCGATTTTTTTGAACGATAATAGATATCAAGTGGAGGTCGATCAGGATTATCCAATACGGACTCATCAAAGCGAACTCGTCTGGTCTGGAAATATATTTTGTAGTCAAAAATTAGGGCTTCTGAAACACGCATGACAAAATTTCTAGCTCTGT